CACAATCTAGAGAGGGAAAACATGTATTAAACAACTCATTGTAATACAACATATACAATAACATCAGCTGAGCAGCCTATGTACTAGGCATTGTTCTCACTCAATTCATCTAACAGTTCTGTGAAGTAGGTGCTGTTATCACTCTCTTTGTACACATGGGAAAACTGAGAACAATACTTACAAATATAGTCCATATGCATGACCACTACACTGTAGTGTCACTCTAAAGAGCTAGAAACATATGAACAGTGTGCTCTGGGTTTTCTGAGGAGTGACAATAACTATACTTGTGAGAATAATATAAGACTTCATAAATGAAATGGTACATGAACTAGAACCTGCAAGTAAGAATGCACCAGGCTGAGAAAGGGAGATGGAGATGCAGAAAAACAGCACATGCAAAGGCACAATCTCTCTTTAAAAAAAAAAAGATTTCTAGATGTTAGGCTTGAAGCATTTTTATTTTATTTATTTTTTAAATGGATTTGAAAGAAAAAAGGAGAGAGAGAGAAACATTGCTGGGTTGCCTCCTGTAGTGCCCCGAGAGGGGATCAAACCTGCAACCCAGGTATGTACCCTGACCAGGAATTGAAACCGCAGCCTTTTGGTGCACAGGAGGATGCTCCAACCAACTAAGCCACCCAGCCAGGCAAGGCACAGTCTCTTCACTGTCTAATTTCCTATCCTTAAAGTATAACACAGGTCCTTAGTAGGTCTGGTACAAAAGACCTTCCATTTTTCTCCATTCTTCCTTTTTATTTTTTCATGTCCTTCTGGCCACCCCTCTCTGACACTCATCACAATACTCATGCTGCTTATCATATGCTACCTCTCCATTTCCACAGCCACAGTCCTAATTTAGGCTCTTATTAGCTCTCACCTGGACCATTGCAATCCCTTTCAATAGCGTCCCTCTGACTTCCTTCAATCTATATAAAAACACAGTTGCTTGTTGAATTTTCTAAAGTACAGCTCTGATCACCTATCATTTTGGGATGTGAAATCTTCAAATCTCTCACTTTCTCCAAAGTAGTCTAAACTATACAACCAGCAAGCACCATCCTTAACTAAGTCTTGACCTATCTTTCAAATCTACCATCCCCTTTCTTTAACACTATCATTGGTCCTCAAACTTTGGTGTGACTCAGGATCACCCGTGGTGCTCATATTAAAAATAGGCGTGCCTGGGCTCCAACGCCAGAATATCCGACTCAGTAAGTCTGGGTTTTGTCCCAGGCTTTTTTTTTTTGCTGTGTGGTTTGTTTGTGAGTCAGGAGAGCATCTATATTGTTTCCTCCTGGTGCTTTTCAGAAACACTACACGTTTCAACTTTACTTAAATTTGCAAAAGCAGCTTCCCGATGCTTTCTCATTTGATTCGGTAATTAAAGTATTCCTTCTCCCAGCATCTCTTCTCAAACCCAACCCATCTTTCAAGACCCAGATCAAGTGCCATCTCTTCCTGGAAGTCTGTCCTGCTCTCTTTCACACTTTGATATGTAGCTGCACTTTCCTTCTGACACCTCTTGCTTACTTAGGAAGCATCCAAGGGCCCCACCAGCCAGTAAGTTTCCTCTGGACGGAGAGGGGCATATTCACCTAAGTCCACCCAACCCCTAGCTCTCTCGCAGGAAGCCGGACAAGTGCAATAAACAATATTGGATCACTCAATCAACAGTTCTCCCCGGAAATCCAGGTTACGACTGCCTCCGACGCCCTTTCCCAGGTGTGCAACAAAGCACCGACGAAACCACTCGGGACAACAGTCGTCCTGAGGTCCGGGGACGGGAGGGAACCACACAGGCAGTAAGTAAAGCTGCCTAAAGGGGGAGCCCGCCGCGCAAAGAAGCGACAGAAAAGGAAGTTCTGCCCTCCGCTTCGCTCCACCCCTGATGTTCACCTCGCCCTCCGATTGGTTGCTTCTTGTACTAGCCAGCTGCGGTCACGTGACCCGTGGCCGCCGCGGGATTGGTTGCCTGGCGAAGACCGCTGTGGGTGGTGGGACGCTGGCGGGCCCCGGAGACCGAGGCGGGTGGGAAGAGGGAGGCCGTTACCGCTACTGCCGGGGGTTGTGAGGCGGGGAGTCGGCTTCATCAGTCTTCGCAGGCCGGGGCAAACGTGAGAGTCTAGGGCGTAGGAGTTCTAGGAGTTCCGAATAGGGCTTAGGACTCCTGCCCGGGTCTTTGGTGTGAGCCCTGGCTCCAGCCTTACGTGTGTTTCCCCGCAAGGACGGGTTTTCTCAGTCTTTCTTGAAGTTGCTGGGGTTTGGACCATATTATTATTTTATATTTGACGGTCCACTGTGCGTAAGCGTTGGCTGCTCTGCGCAGGGGTAGACGGTGGGGGGGAAGGAGTGTTTAGAGATGCATGAGGTATGGTCCTTACCCACGTGAAACCTTGCAGGTAAGTCGGCTTTATAAATTGTGCTGATGCCTTTATAATCCAGGAGTTTAGGATTTAGTGGGGAGGGTCGTGCATGGGCCGAGTTAAAACTCTCATTTACTTATTGAGCCTCCTCCTAGGCACCATTCTGAGTGTAATGGATGCAAAGGCCAGTAGGACACAGCCTGGTTCTTTAGAACTGTGATGGGGCCGACCGGGAGGTGGGACGTGGGGGACGTGCGTAACCGGCGTGTGGTGCGTGCCGCGGGCCGCGGTGGGAAAAACTGCTGTGGAGGCAGAGCACGGGATGAGTGACGGTGTTAGGGACCACTTAACAGAGAGAAGGTGACGTTTGGGTAAGGTTTTTAAACTATAATTAGGCGTTCTCCAGATTGTAAGGGCTGGGGAAGGCATTCCATATGGAGCAAAGTGTACTAAGGAATAAAATTAGGAAAGTGCTTGTGTAGAGGATGATGAGATAAAGGCTCAAGCAAAACCCTCGTAAAACGGGCACTTTGTTAGTTTCCCCCTTTATGGTGTTCAGTTGCTCAATGGCAAACAGACCAACAGTTGTGTTTTATAGAGTAGCTATGGACACTTACAGATGGCTGAAGGAAGCATGTGGTGTCTCCAGAATTGTAATTTAGATACTGATAATAACATGCTGAAAGGCTGGAAAAGGTGACATGTGATCCTAGCACTTCCCCATGTCAGCGATTGTGTATTACCAGGTGCCATTTAGAATAAATGAAATGCAATCAGCTTTTCATTCAGAAATTAATTATGCAGGTTGTGAATTACCCAGGCTTTTCCGTGCTTCCTTGATCTTGCTCATGCCCGGGAGAAAAAGAAAATTAAGTCTTATATTTAGATGATAGTGGAAAAATATAAATCTGGTAATCAGACCTCAGTTCCCTTTCCAGCTCTGCTGTTAATTTGCTATGGACCTTTGGCAAATCAGAGCCTGTCTGGGTCTTGGACTCTTTAGATAAAAGATTCTGGTGTCAAAATTTATGACTACTTTTTATCTTTGTGTGCAGCATAATTGTAAATCAGAATATATATTAAATGAACTGGAGTTTACTTTATAAAGGAATTTTGTTCAAAATCTTTTCTATAGCTTTTGCTTTAGAAATAGACTATAAATCCCTTCACAGGCATCCCTGAGATTTTATCACCCATGCTGTTTGGGCTCATTAAAAAAAAGTTATTTTCACTGTAAATGCTTACCCACTCACCTCTGTATTTCAAAAACAAAAAAGCTCCTCCAAAACAAAACTCACTCAAATGTGCATATTTGTAGAGCCGAGTTGCTTAAAACAAAGCATAGTGAAGGATAAAATATTTATTGGGAGCCCATGGTTGCAATTTAAACTTATCTAAAAAGAAGCCTTTATTTTTTTCATAGGTAAACCTAAGTTTTTTTTGGAGGTGAAAATACTTAGATAATACAAGGAGGTGAAATGCAATGATGCGATGATGAGTGAAGTATAGTCTGACCTGGTATTGCCATTGCTTCAGTGTTGGCTTTGACCAGGGTATGATCACTTAATCTTCTCTCTGAGCTGATTCTGGCTGTGGTTTTCCCAATGTTCTAGCCTATTTTATTATGTATGGGAGTGTTTCTTTGATACATTTTTTAAAATTTTACTGATACTTTCATGTTTTCCTTCTTAGGTTGAGGTGGAAAATCTGGCTTTGATACCTTCATGGAGTACTACGTTATTTCAATCCTGAATCTGGTTTAGTTCTCTTATTGACTTATTGTATTAAAAATGTTTTTGTTTTTTAATTAACTATGATACTTGCTTTGGTAAAACCTTGCTGTTTAACAAGGATTTTTGCAACTATTCAATATACTCTTCTTATGATACATAAAAGCATTCATATTTTAAAATCCATAGGGTGTTACATTTTGGAATTTTGTTTTATCACCTTTGCTATTAGAGAATATATGTACTTTGAATTGCTAAATTGAGTTAAAATATTGGGAAACACCTCTCTCAGCAGAGGCACTTAAAGATCACTTTCGGCCTTCCTTCTCTAGTGACGAGGATTTTTTTTTAATCCATATTTTTTCCACCAACCTGCCAATCTAGGCATGAATTTTTCTACATAGACAACTTAAGTGTTTTTGTAGTATTTCTAATACAAGATAGTTCAAACAGGGCTGAATTCTTGCTGTTGGGGTAGAAGATTTTCCCAAGTATTAGATTAGCAAAAAAAGAAAGAAAAAAATGTTAATATAAAAATACCCCAAAAAGTCAAAGGTTGTCTGAATGAAAAACTTAAACACATCAAGTAATCTTTAAGTTTCTACATAATCATGATAACATGGAACAGTTCTTTGCCAAAAAACATTTATTCTTAAAATTTATTTGTTTCATAGAAACTTTAGTATTAGCCAGAATGATTCATGCCAATTTAGCAAACTCTTAACAGCAAGCAGAAAGAGCTTATTAAAAGATTCTTTCTTTACACAGATCAGTATTTTACTTCATCTCTTCATTGCTTATTAGTTTTGCTTTCTCAGGGAAATCTTAAGGCTACTCTACATAGACATACACTCAACCCTAATTTTCCTTTAACCAGTTTTCCAAGGAAGACATGTATGGCTCATAAAAGTTGATAAATTATAGCAGATGTTACATAACAAATGGGTCACAGTATATAGAAGGAGCTATTATTTTTCTAAAGTGTTTCTATAAAGAGCAAGCCCACTTTTCACATTGTTTGCAAACTGGTAAACCTCTTCTTCATAAATAGATAAACACTTTTCTAAAGTAAAGGCCTGCTTCCCCTTCACAACTCACTTTATGAAGTCTAACTTGGGTTTTTCCTGAGAACTTCTACACCTCTTTGTTCTTTAAGGAAAGGCTTCTGTACTGATTATCCCCTCTTATCCACTTCTACACTGACCCTCATGTGCTCTGCCAATCCCTATTCTCTTATTCTAACCAGCTTGGTTAACTTTAAGTTGAAGGTCTAGAGAGCAGGCTAGAAGTTAAGATTAATGGGTACATCCTTTTAAGGAAACCCATGTAGTTGTTTAAAATTAATATAAACATTAATTGAGGCAAAGAGGTATCAAACGATGCTGTGTACCATGCTGAAAACCAACCTTTATAGTAAACCTGTAGCCTTACAGTGCAATAATTTTGTTTTGAGATAAAATGCTAATCCCTTTCAGTTCTCAGGAGAATACAGTTTAATTAGATGTTGTACTTCTGTTGGATAACCTGTGACAGGACAAGCTTGGTGACTCCTCACATAATTAAACACACAGCGATAGCAAAACACATAGCCAGAAGTGGCAAGAACAGTATCATTCACCCTGGTTTTACGACACAGTGGGCACACAGTCTTCATTTTGGGTAACAGGGGAGAGTCAGAATTGTAGTCTAGGTGTACAGGTGGTGGTGGAGTAGGCAGGGCAGTCAGTGATTTGATGGTTTCCTGATTTTCAGATGAGTACCACCACTCAAGGAACTGCAGGAAGAATACACCAACAGAAAGGCCAGTAGAGAGGGATAAGGCAATGCCCCCCATAGCTTTTTTCAGAGTTGACTTTATCTTCTCAGTAACACTGTTGGAGAATAGAACATGGAGGCAAAAGGAGAAACTGTTTATTTAGGTGTAATTGCACGCAAAAAAAGACTAATATAAATATAGTTCTTAAACTTTTCATCAGAATCACCAATTCAGTTTGGGGACTGAACAGTTGCTAGACTGGCACTATCTCTTTAAGGTTGTTTTCTAAATGATTCCCTCTTTCTGACTTACAGTATTTTAGGAGCATAGGAGCTAAGCTTTGTTTTTAATGACTAGGGTTTTGTTTTGTGTTTTGAGAAGAAATTAGTAAGATATTGATTATATAGACCTTTTTGTGTATATGTGAAAGACAGTACATCCAGAAAAAGGAACAACTCACTTAACAAAAATTAACTTAGCAATACTGAGGAATACTATATATTTGAACTTGTAGGAGAACTTGAACACTAACTAGAAGCAGCATAGCATAGTGGTAAAGAGCAGTCTTGAGAATTGTGCTGACTTGGCTTGAATCTCAGCTCTGCCACCTTCTAGCTGTGCACCTTGGCAAGGTACTTAGCTGTTAGGGCTTAGTTTCCGTAACTGTTAAATGGGGCTAATGAATTTATTTCATTGAGTTGTGATGAAGATTGAGATAATGTACATAAAGCGAACACCTAGCTCAGGGCCTGACCATAGCAAGTGTTTTACACAAAAATGTAGTAGTTATGATGAGGTGAGTTACCAGGATGGCAATCCTTGTTTTATGAACACAGAATTTTTCTATGATTTTATGAAATACCTCAAAGTGGACTGAGAGAGGTGATTTCATAAGATTAAAGTAAGATTTTATAATTTGTTAAGCAAAGCTTTGTGGGAAACGTTAAGGCCTTACCTCCTGGCTGATTTCTGCATCATGCTGGCTTCAGCTGGTTTGTGTTCCAGAGCTTGTATATCCTGAGCTGTAAGTCGACCTAGCCGAACTCCAGCCAGACTTAGAAGTGGTGAGTGATGCTGAGCTTTTCCTAGGATGTATCGAAGTTGTTGTACAAGAAACCAGCCTTCCCAGGCCATGTTAACAAATGGGTAGGCTGCCAGGAAGGCTCTGTAAAATTGTTTCCAGCGGGAAGAAGGGGGATGGATAGAATATTCATCCTCTTCTCTAAGGCTAGAAACCAGCTTCTCCAGCTTCACTTTCAGATATGGAAGAAGAACCAGGAACATAATTGACTTCCAAAGCTGCTTTTTTGGGAGACCAGCACTGGCCAGTCTCTGAAAATTGTGTGTGTCCCCGGTTACAATCCGTTTTAAACCATAAAAGTTTTCAGAAAATGAAGCACTGGTTTTAGACAGATAATGCTGCTGGAGCAGAAGATCTAGCAGGGTAAAGATTTCATCAAACCACCTCCAAAAGAAGCCATAATGGGCAGGATTTGATTCTGCAAGAACCTAAAACAAAATAAATCAATAAAGGAAATTGATTCCATTTCACAGCTACCATGCCTTATATTTGCATTTCCTTTTTCCCCCTTCTAAAATCTAGTTTGAGATTAAACAAGTCACTTCTTTTGGGGTCTACCCTGTCTTTCCTGAAGTGCTGGGTTCATTACAGGGCTCTACACATAACGGGGGCTCCATAAGCATTAAATCATAGGATATAAATGTTATGCTAATTGGTCATTTCAAACATAGGCTACGAAATAAACTCAAATTATTGGTTTGGTTTTTATCCAGTCTAAAACCATTTAAAGAATACCTTACCTTGACCACATGCTGAAGAGCAGGCCTCACTGCTGTCATTAAACTGTCCTGTGCTACCACCTCAAAGATGGACGGCTGGTCATCCACCACAGCAGCAGTTGTGATGTGAGCCCCATGCTCAGCCATGGTTTTCTGTGTGCACTGGGTTTCACTTTGCCCACAAACTCTCTAGTAAGCATGAACTTGTTCTGGATATTAAATGGGTGCTCAGCCTTAAAAGTAAGCTTTCTGCAGGATATCTGAAACTCAATTTTTACAGGAACTGGGGCGGGGCGGGGAGCCTCTTCTGGAGGCAGAGGGGACGGGATCTCAAGGAAGTTAAGAACAAAGTTAACGCAGACGTGGGTGGAAGTGGTGTGTGAGCAAGGGTTGACTTAAATGCTGCACCTCACAGGACAGAGCGTGACTATGGGGGAGAGAGATGGGCCAAGGAGGGCTTTCCTCTCGAGCTGCAGTCCTGGAGGCTGCGAATCGGGGACTTCCGACCGTGACGGCTAAAAGCCAGCTGGTTCTGAGGGATGAGGTGCCAGTGCGGGCTGGTACGCGAGGACTGGCTCCAGCTGGTGGCTGTCAAGTACCCCGCCCGCGCCCGTCCTTGCGCGGTGACCCCAAGCGAGGCGCGAAAGACCCCCGACGCCACGTTTGAAGGGAGGTCTCAGCTTTATGACGGAAGCCGCACCCGGAAATAGAAGCCGCCAATGGTGGGGAACCGTGGGGGAGGAGAGGCGCTCTAGCCCCAGACGCGGCCTCGAGGCCGGAACTAGGAAACTCTATGACCGTACTGGCACTTCCGCTCCCGCCCCACTGAAATAGTGTTTCCTTTGGAGAGGGGATTTTGGTTTGTTTGCTTTAGTTGGTTTGTTTTGCATCGCTGTCTCGGTGGGAAACCACAGCTTTGAGTCTCTGGAGGTGTTTCTGACGTCTGGCGCCAGCACTTGGCCCGGCGCGCGGTCGAGCCTGGAGTGGAGGGATCAAGGAAATGTTGGGGTGGGAAGGCTCACGGCGTTGTTGCCGCAGGGGTGGTGGTCAGAATTTCTGTTTTGCGCCTTCCAGGAAAGATCTGAAGCGACGTGGCTGGAGGAGAAGCTTTCGCTGTATTGCTGCCAATTATAAAGAAAGACGATTAGAATGAGAAAGGTTCCTGCCTTCCTCAAAACTTGGGACGATTACATTTCGTCCAAGCTGGTAGTTTACCTGTGTTCCTACGTTTGGTTACATTCTAGCATAAACTCTAGGCACTTGCTACACTAGATGAAAATGGTGCCTATCTTCGTACGCGAGAGGGTGTGTCACATTAGCTATACAAATAGAGTGCTAAAACGAAGGAATCCTGATACATTCCACCTAGCATGATCTGGGGAGGATTGGCAGAAAAGGTATTTTTCATTGTATACCAAATTTAGTGTAATTTACCTTACGGTTTATAAAGTTCTGTTACATCGTATGCAACTTGGCCTCTTTTGCACTGCTGATACGGGTTTATTAAATTTGGATAAAAGTTCAAGTTCAACCTGTTTTCTCTCCAGAACTCCTCCCTCACCCCTGGGCTAAATAGCTAGAAATGGAAGGTATTATTCACAGCCCAGAGGACTTTACGGTATAAAGATAGATCATTGGTTTGCATAATGAGAAACCTCCGAAACAAAGTTTGGGTTTAGTTGTTTGAACTGGAAAGAAATGCTATCTTGCAAGTAGGCCTTAATTATAGTTCTAAAAGGTGTTTTCTTACTCAATCAAAATGCCTGCTAGAGAAAGTCACATTGATAAAAGATTTTTACCTTACAGGCTTAAGGACTAGACAGATTGTGTCTATAAAGTACTTGGTACACGTTAGGTACTTGATCAATGGTAGCAGTTATATACAGACTTTTCTCAAGTGAACAGCAAAAACACCAAGTTGAGAAATAGCATCAACTAAAATAAGTGGAAAATTAAACATATGTTTCCGTTGCAGTTCTTTGGTTAAAAGCAACAGAAACAGGTTAATTTAAACTAAAGGAATTTGTTAGAAGTATATGGAGTAGCTAACAAAATAAGGAAAGCCAGCTCTGAAGGAACAGGAACTACACAATTCTATTAGATATCTCTAGCAAGAATTAGCAAAGTCTCATCCAGGTAATATTTTTGGAATGAATGAACTTCAACAGATTATTGTCACTGGACTTACTGATTCAAATTCCTGTAGACTTGCCTTGGTTCAGATTTCCTCTCTACTCTCTTTCACTCATCCAGAAGAGGGCAAAACATCTTCATTAATAATAGTCCTTTGAGGATACTCCAAAAGTAAACAAGTTATTAAGTAAGAAAAAGGAAAGATAGTCAAAAATAATTACAATCAATTATTACAGCCCACAAAATAAATACCTCATCACAAATCCTGCTCTTAGGTTTATAGTTTAATAGATAAGACACAAAAAGTAATTGCCCTTATCGTAAAAGGTATTAAGAGCCATCAGAAAGGTTAAATGTGTTGTGAGTTTCGTGGAAGAGGTAACTACCTCTGGGAGAAATAAGGCAGTTCAAACTAGCTTAAACAGAAGTCCTATGTAACCAAACAAAGGGAATACATTATTTCTAACCTAATACAGGGTGAAGCAAAAGTAGGTTTACAGTTGTGAGTACGAGAAACCATTCTTGTATTATTGTTAATAATTGTATGATTTTCTCTATGAACAATTCTAAACCCACTTTTGCCCCACCTGTATTTCATCTCAGCTTTTCTCTGCCAGTTGCTTTCTAATATAATGATGTAACCTGGTACCTTCTGTACTTACCACAGCAGATGTCCACTGAGAAAGTTGTATGGATTAGGTGGATCTCGAAAGGTGATTATCAATACATTTGGGGTAAGTCATAGTAGTGATAGGGCTTTCCAGTCTAAGGGAGCAGTATGAAGTATATTTGAGGAGGAAATTGTTTACTTTCCTTAGTAGTACTACAGAAAGGAATAGTAGAAAGTGTGTTGAAAAGTAGATTTGGGTACATATTATGGAGGGTCTTAAATGTTTGTTTAAGTATTTTGTCTGTGTATTTAATACATTCTAAGTGCTGGTTATAAAGTAGTAATAAAAACAGACAAGGTGTCAGTCCGGTATGGCTCAGTGGTTGAGCATCAACCCATGCACCAAGAGGTCGCCGGTTTGATTCCCAGTCAGTACACATGCCCAGGTTGTAGGCCGATCTCCAGTGGGGAGCATGCAGGAGGCAGCCAATCAATGTTCTCTCTCATCGATGTTTCTGTCTCTCCCTTTCACTTCTTCTTTCTCTAAAATCAATGAAGGGAAAAAAAAAATTAAAAAACCCACAAAAAACAGACAAGGTATCTGCCCTAATGGAATTTACAGTCGAGGAGGGAGATAAAAAATAAACTAATACAAATTTATAAATTGAGTAAGAGGGTTAGGATGGGGTGACAGTGGGTTATCAGGGAGTGCCTTTCTGAGGAGATAGCACTTAAACTGAGACCTAAATTGTGAGGAGCCAGCCATGTGAGGAGTTGGGGGGAAACAATATTAGGCAGGAGGAGCAGTATTTGTGGAGGCTCTAAGGTGGGAAAGAACTTGGCATGTTTGAGGGTTACAATAGGTAGCAAAAGGAGAAATGAGGAGTGACTGAAAGGCATAAAATGGTATTAAAGAGGTAGATGAGCCAAACCATGCAGGAACTAAGGGCCGTGGGAAGGAGCCTGGATTTTAGTCCAAGTGCAATGGGAAGAAGCCACTGAAGGATTGATCCACCAGAGTCCTGATCAGGTTTATATTTTTAAGATGACCCCATAGTGGTTATGTGGTTATGTTTACTTGTGAAAATCCATCAAGCTTTATATTCATGATGTGTGCACTCTATTGAATGTTTGTTATACTTCAAAAAAAAAAAATGTAAGAAACAAAAACCTGACTGATGTATAGATAGATAATGGTTGGGAGGAGAGTTGTTTCTAATAGTCCAGGCAAGACCTGATGGTGGCTTGGACTAATGAGGTGGAATCAAGAGGATTGAATGAATTTGAGATATATTTTGAAGGCAGGATTAAAAACTTGGAGATGGATTGGATGTGGCAGTTAAGGCAGAGAGAAAAATCTAGACCCCCCTCCCCCCGCCCCCAGGATTCTTGCTTGAGGAATTCGGTGTAATTTATTGAAATAAAATCATAACAAATATTTACATAGTTCATACTATGTGCAGGTATAGTTTTAAGTACATATACTAATTCATTTCATCCTTTTGACAATATTATGATTGGATATTACTATTTCCCCCCACTTTATAGATGAGAAAACTAAAGAAAAAGGCAGATAGGGAAAACTGAGAGCATAGGTTTTGCAGGTGTTAGGCAATGAGGAGCTGTTGAAAGTTTTTGAATAGGGAAGAGATATGAATCAAAGTTGTTGTTTTTTTTAATCCTCACCCGAAGATATTTTTCCATATATTTTCAGACAGAGTGGGAGGGAGGGAGAGAGAGAGACATCGATTGGTTGCCTCCTGCACAACTCTGATCAGAGTCGGGAACCGAACCACAATCAGGGTACATGCCCTTGACTGGAATCGAACCCACGACTTGTTGACTCTTTGGTCCACAGGCCAACACTAACCACTAAACCAAACCAGCAGGGCATGAATCAGCGTTCTTTAAGAGGTTTCTGATAGCATCTTCTTGACAAAATCCACCTCTGTCTGCTGAGAGTTGTACCTGGAAACAGGTTTTTCAACCCTCCCCCATATCTCATTCCCTTGTGATTTGCTTAATTTGGGTAGGCCATAATTATAGAATTACCCATAAGTGTGATAAGCAATTTGGTGGTAAGTTTGGGGAACAAGTCAAGGCCAGAGATAGAGATATTGGAGTCATATGGATACAAAAGATTGAACGCATGCTAAAGGGATAGCGTAAAGAAAATGTGTAAATGTAGAACTTAAAAAAAAAATCTGCCACTCCTTCAAATACCATCCTATATCTCCTCCTTTCAGCTGTACTTTCTTATGGAGTTATCTGTAACTCCTTATTTAATTTCCGTCTCTCAGTTCATCCTCAAACTTCTGCGTTGTGGCCTTTGCCTTCCTATCTCTACTGATGGTCACAGCAATGCCATCAAAGACCTTTGTGTTGCCAAATCCTTGGAAATTTTTCATCCCTTCCTCCTTATCTCTCTGTTGCAGTTGATATTATTGACTACTCACTTATACATTCATTCATTCATCAAATTTTGTAGAGAAAAGCTAGGTCTCAGAAATAGAAGAGTGAACAGATTGATGTAGTTCCTACTTTCATGGAATTATAAAAGCATCCTGAAACAGAACTGCTGAAAACTTCTACCTCTCTGATTACTCCTTCTTGATCCCTTTTGCAATTTGATTTCCTCAGCTACTGCCCCAGGCTCTCTCACTATCCACATTTTTTAAAAGACCTTATTTTAGAGCATTTATTTTAGATTCAGAGCAAAATTTAAGGGAAAGTACAGAGATGTCTGGGTTGTGGTTAACAAAAGGAACTTTTGCCTAAGCACACCTACTACATGCTTGGACTAATGAGGTGGAATCAAGAGGATTGAATGAATTTCAGATATATTTCGAAGGCAGGATTAAAAACTTGGAGATGGATTGGATGTGGCAGTTAAGGCAGAGAGAAAAATCTAGACACC